GATGTGGCCTCTTTCTGCACACATACAAACCAACCCCTGGCAATGCCCTCTGCCACAGCTCAAATGGTCTAATGGTTAACTCTATTGACTTTCATGTGGGAGAACTGGGTTCAAAACCCAGCTACAGCAACTTTAACAAAAAAATCTCTACAAACATCATATTGTCACACAATTATCCTCATTACAAACWCCTGCTGACTTGACAAGCACAAGCTGGTATAGAAAACACATTTGAACTTGGTCACAGTTCATTCTGCAAGTCCACTGCTTCAGGTAAAGCCATGCTGCAATGACATGCTACAAGGCAATGCACACTTGTTTTTACATCGTAAAAACCCATGTCTAGTTTTCTATCCAATCCTTATTCTTGACCATGACCGCAAGTGGTAAAGTGATTTAAAAAAAAAAACAGAAAGTGAACATTTAGAAGACAAYACAGACCTAAAGTACTATCTAAAGCTGATGAACATTATCTGAAAGTCGTGCTTAATAAGAACAGRGAGAAATCCTGTAAAGATTTGACAGGACCAGAGAAATTAATCATCTTCCGTTTTATCATCTGCTGTGTGACAAGTTTTTTTTTTATCTAATAGCTCTTTGGGAACAACCTTGTTGGTGCTATAGAATAATTTATTTTCTTATCTTTGATATTCTCTATAAATTCTACTAAAAACATTGGCAGATTTGTTTTAATGCCTGAGTGATTTATAGGTCAGAGTTAGTCAGCTTAACAAACAAACATTTGCAAAGATTGGAACAAAGACTGAAAAGGAAGAACAAATCCACCAAAGTCCAAACAAAATTTTTTTTCAAAAAAGTACTAGCGATCAAGGCTAGTGTAAGCATTTACAAAAGAAAATATGTCTCCTTGACATCAAAACATGTCCAAATAGGCAGGAAAATGTGTCTTCAAACAATAAATATGTTGTCAAACCACAAATAACAGCTGATATTCGACCTCATTCAACTATCAACCTTTGACTTTGCTCCCTAAAAGATAAAGCAGCCTATCCTGGGTTATATAGTTACAGTACCAAACAGATTTCAATGTCAAAACTACCATTAAAAGACTAGTTTATGCTAAACATACTTAGTAGTTTTGGTCAATAATAGGTTCATTTTAATTCTGGTTGTATAACCTAAACAAACTAATTATTTAATATGTTAAAGTTCAGTCTGAGTGATATAGATGGCTGGCAAAATGAGTTTTGGGCACTGTGATTGTTGATTTAATGCAATAATTATTCTATAAACTTGAAAAACTGGCCTCATAACAGCTGGTTTGTTAAGCAGCAGCAACTATTTATTTTTAATATGATTATGTTTGATTATTATTTTTTTAGAAAATAAAAGCGTTTCAACCAATTGTTCCCTTCTCACATCGCACCAGGAAAGGATGTTGGGGTTTGATGTTCAAGAGAAACAAAAAATGCGCAACTTCCGACAATTGCCACGTCAAACACCGTTGGGAAGGAAAAAAAACAAAGTAAAAACACGCTTTTGTCATTTCATTCATTTACAACCAGCTGCACACTCGGTTACGTCTTTGTACTTGGAATAAAACTCTGATGACAACATAAGCTTCAAACCTGTTTATTTAAAATCTTACTTTGACTACATTTATGAAAACATCTTCTTGCTAGCTGCGCACAAAAAAAAATACTACAAAGTTTTCCTCCTCGACAGAAACGCTCAAATAAAGTCAACTCTTGGTGTAAAGATTATACGAGGAAAGGTTATTCTGTATTGTAATTTGTTCTTGTAATTTACCTGGATAGTGGGGCAGAGTCCTCCTCACCGTCTGTTACTTTCTGTAAGCAGAGTGCCACGTCAAACACCAGCAAAGCACCGGTAGCTCTGCTGGTACCCAGATGTGCGTCCATAGCATAAATCACTAAGTGCTTCCGGTAAAGGTTTTTCAAAATAAAACTAATGACTGTTTTAAGCTACGCTAACATTACGCTTTTTTAGCTAAACACATATTATAAATTACTCAAAATTACATAAAACGGCTTTAAAAAATAACAGACTTGTTTTATTAATAAATATTAGCTTTACAAATGAATGTTGACTTTTACGATGACAACATTTTTGCTTTATTTCCGCTTTTCACAGCCTACTTGACAAAAAAAGGCTGTCTCGTGTCTTGCTCTGTTGCGCATGCGCGAAGTAGAGGGACCTCATACACGTCAGCATCTCGGAAAAGACCGTTTCGTCATCAGAAACACCGAATATTAAATTTTTTTTTAATAACATTTACAAACAGACACAAGCAGAGTCACTTTTATCACGCAGGTATAGCATACAACACGATAAAAGGAAACGCCGTTCTGTTTATTTATTGTAGCGGAAACTGGACGCAAAAAATGAATACCAATAGGCATGAAAAATCGCAGGTAGGCTCAGTAAATCGAGGAGACTGGTAAAAGTTTTCTCCCTTTCTTTTTTAATTTGCAGCCAGGGGGGAAAACTATTAAACATTTTTCAATAATATGCATCAACGCATGTAAATTATTTAAAGCTGGGAAATTCTGGAATAAGGAAAAAGTCTGAAATCTGAGGAAAAAAGGTCAGGATTCGGCTTTAATCTCAGAATTTTTTTTTTTTTTCCCCCAGTGGCCCTAATCCTGAATTGTTTTGAACGTAAGGTGTATGCACGCCCAGTGATTACTCTCAGATATGGTATTATCCGTTGGTTCATGAGATATTTTGCTAACAGACGCTCAAAAAAGGCTTTGGGCAAACCCGTTTTCCCCTCATGCGGAGGTTAATTTAAATTGGTTCACTTATTTTGCAAAGATAAACTCTGCAACAACAGTATTTTCCTTGTTTTTCAGAGTTGTTTTATGTTCCTCCTGCAGCTGGGGATGGTTCAGGGACGCGCCTCCCYGCAGGCGGGTCCTGCGCGCGGCGCTGGAGCGAAGCCTCGCGCTGGGAGCTCAGATGATGATGATGATGATGAAGGGGTAGAGGTGCTGCGGCTGCTGGTACTTGCTGACAGTTCTGTGCTGGTTCGGCTGAGGAGCTGTGAGCACCATGGGCACCGGGGATTACATCTGCGTGACCCTGCGTGGCGGTGCGCCGTGGGGTTTCTCCCTGCAGGAGGGGGAGGGGGACACCTACAGACCCTTCCTCATCTCCCAGGTAAAAACCTTCACTCTGCTTTATCATAATCTGCTGTCTAACTTTGCATAATTGATGCTGCTTTAGCCTTTCATTAAATATAATGTCCAGCTACTTTCTTTTTACTTTATTTTTTTTATTTACTTTCAGTTATGTTTACCCACAGACATAAAAAAAAAATCTGTAAAATTTGCTCCAGCAGATTTTTATTTGTGTCATCTTGTACTTTTTCCTGCTTTTGTCAAGCCTTCGGCTACTTTTAGCTTTTAGCTACCATTTTGCTACTTTAGCGTTTAGTTTTTCTTTTGCATATACCTTTTTGCTACTTTTAATTTTAGCTTTTACCTAGCTTTTTGCTTCTTGCTACTGTTGGCTACAATCAGCTTTCAGCTATTGTTTTGCTATAAAAAATAGCATTTAGATACTTTTGGCTTTGGCTAGGAGTTTACTTATTGCAACTTGTGTTTTGCTTCTTTCAGCTTTTTGCTAATTTTAGATTTTCTGCTTTATTTATAAACACAAAGTGAATTTCTTTACCTTGAACACCTCAGTTTCAGCTTCTTCGGGTGGATTTCACCACTCAGCGTTCTTACTTTGTTTCAGCTTTGTTTTTGTTTTGTTGTTTTTTTTTGCCTTTCTACAGTTGATTTAACCCAGTGTGTGTCTTCAGCCATGAACCATCTGACTTTATTTTCCTCACAGACTTTCAATTTTGTTTGAATCTTCTTAATTCCAACAAGCTACCATTTCAGCTGTGTGGGAGAAATCTAAAAAAGCATTTATTTTCTCAGTTGAACTTTTAAAAGCTTGAACTGGTATGCGTCTGGCTGCATAGTTGTGCGCTCTGGCTGTGTTTTGGTGAAAGATTCCTCAGCACCCTTATATGGTCAAAGCTAAAGGGAGAGTGAGGAGATCAGAGCGGTGTGATCTTTCATCGCTTTCAGGGGCTTCAGCAGGAAAACAAAGCAGCRTTCAGACTCTGATCCAAAGACGTTTGAAAGAGAGACAAACCAAAACTAAGAACTCTGTTCGAACGAGTGCATTTTAAAAGTCTGATTAAAACATTAAATAAATAAATAAATCTCATGTGGAGAATTTTATCTGAACAGGGAATGGATATCACAAACAGTTAATAAATCATGCCAAGTGTTGACTAATCCTGTGGACTCTTACGGACCACTCAAAGTGGTTGTGGTCATTGTGATGACAAAGCAGAAAGAGGTACAGTATGATGTTCATCACCAATTCTTTATAATAATAAATAACACATGTACCTCTGTGTTATTGCTAAGCATCACACCATCGATCTCAATTGTCACTCAATAGGGATTATCAAGACATGATCTCACTTGCTAAATGGTTTTATTGTTGGCTTTTAAAGTTTTSAAAGGTCTGGTCTGGCCGTTCATATTTATGTGATCTTCTAGACATCTACACTCCAGTAGGAACCAGTTTCTTTTAGGTGTTCCTAGATCCAAAATGAAATCCAGAGGTGATCGAGTTTTTGCAGTTGCTTCTCCAAAGTTGTGGAACAGTTGAGGATTTTAAATCTCAGCTCTTTTCTTTGGCTTTTGATTGAGGCAGAGTTTGAGGTCGAGCTTGATGTTTTATTAACATGTTATAATGTCATTCCCTCATTAAAAGCATTGCTTTGATTCATTCACGCATGTTTGAGAAACCCTTGACTTACTTACGGTAGCCATTTGAAGCTGCCTAAACACCTGCTGGTACAAAGCACCGCCTAGTTACCCAAAGCTCCTCCCTGGAGCTCATTCTCCCGCTGAGCTCCCGCCCCACAGAGCAACCTGAGTTGCTTACATAAACCCATATTATATAATGTTGCTCCTTTTTTTTTTCTTCACAACAAAATACAACGCTCCTTCAAAAGTTTGCAAACGGCATGAAGTGGTGTTGTGAAGATGTGCTGAAGTGGGAGTGTCAGAAATGGCAGGAGGTTCTTAAACAGAGACAAAAGCCAATATCAAGTTGTTTATGATGAAAAGTCAAATTTATTTTTGATATCTACACAGCTTTTTCATAAGAATTGAAGGTAACAGTTACATGATCGTCGCATAGAATTGAACTATGTGTCAGGAAAATACATAATACTCCCCTTTAATGTGCTGTATAGATACATTTGACATTGGCCTTGGGTTCTAAAATGATGGATGGATGGATGGATGGATGGATGGATGGATGGATGGATGGATGGATGGATGGATGGATGGATGGATGGATGGATGGATGGATGGAACAAGGTGTTGCATTGGTCCAATCAAATTCTAGACCACAACATGGTGGATCATAAGAAGAGCTGTGCAGAAACAAATGGCTGCAAACCTCAATGACCTGAAGCAACRTTGTAAAGAAGAGCAGGTCAAACTTCCTCCACTTGTGAGAAATTCTTTTAGAAAACCACCACATCAAGWTGTTACTGCTAAATGTGCTTCTACAGGCTACCTGGAACATGGTTTTTAACCCTCCTTGACATCCTTGGATCAAAAAGACCTATGAGGCCACATAAACCCAATTGTCCTTTTCAACCTTGGCATTAGTCCTATGTGTGTTTCTAAGGACGTAAAAAAAAACCTCTCAGTTGAGTAGAATAAAAAAGTTTATATAGAAGAGCGCTTTGCTGTAATGTGTGTGTTTGCACACAAAGCCAGGGGCCTTTACTCTGAAGAGCTGCTCACGCTCTATATATGGTGCTGCAGTGCACAAAGTGAAGCTGCACAGATCACCCAGCCACTTGTCGTCCAAACAGTGTTGATGTAAATGTTTTTCTTRAGCGGCGTTCTTGCTACATCAAAGCTCTGCCGGAGGAAAGCTTTTTTTTGGGGGGGTCTCTGAAAGCGTCAGTGGGTCGTTTCGACAACAGATCCATTAACCAAAGCCACAATCATAACGTTCATTTCTGACTTTACTGAATGCACTCTGAAGTTTAAAGTTTACAGATAGTTCGATGTTAGAAGCTGGTACCAAGACACACAGGAAGATGAAAACTAGTTCCTAGGGAGCCAAGTTGTAAATCCTTCTTCCATTTTCTTTTTACAATTATACAAAAACAACACACAATCTTTCAAACAGTCTTGGAAAACCCCCAACCCCAAAACAAGGTTTTCTTGGCCCTGAGGGAGGTTGAGGTATATGCTCCATGTTCCACTTTTATTTGTCTCGTGAAACATCACAAACTAATTTTAGACCCAAATGTGGAGTTTAACRTCATCCAGCCTCCAAAGTGTTCTCATGTGTTGCGTACTTGCAAATACACAGTTTTGAAGCGTCGGCCTGTGCGAGGTAGATGATAAATGAGGAGTTTGCTCGTCATCTGGAAAGAATAACACGAACCTTTGAACTTGGTTTGTGGGATGAATGCAAAGCCAGTGCTGTAAAAATACAAATAAACAGAAAAAAACAAAACAAAACACCAAACTAATAAGTTCACAGTTGTGTTAAACTATAGCTTTTCTTTAGTATGATCAAGTGTGCAGAAACTGTTTGCTTTCAGAAACATGGCAGTTTGGAGAGTTTTATTAACAAGTTATCTCCATATAAGGGAAGCTGTGTTTTCTTTGCATTTTGAGTTATGGCCTTAATAAATAAATAAATAAATAAATAAATAAATAAATAAATAAATAAATAAATAAATAAATAAATAAATAAATAAATAAATAAATGGTGAGGTCACTTTAGTTTTTAAAGATACAGAAACAACACCAAACAAACTTTACCCTGTTCTACAATCAAAGCCGGCCCGTGGCATAGGCAGTATAGGCAAACACTAAGAGCACCATCCATCTAGGGGGCCCCATAAATGGGGGACAAACACAAAATTATAATGTCTTTTGTGAGTTGATTTAGTCTGATAAATGCATTACTTTCACTAAATTCAGTTGAGTGGAACCAGTTGACATAATTCTTTTAAAGGAACAATGTGTAATAATCTTGCGACATCTAGTGGTCGAGGTTCCTTATTGCAACCAACTAAAATGTCATTTCACAAATCCCCATAAAAAACATGACGGAGTCTCTACGGTGGCCATCTGGTGTCATAAATCTTAGATACTCCCAAATGCAATAATAGCAACTTTAGAAATAGTGATATTTCAAGTGGTAAGATTAATCTAATTAGAAATTTAGGAAATATAATATGTGTAATGATCATTTCTCATTTCACATTGAAGTCTAGCGGCCGGTTCATCGTAAACAGTCTTTGATTTTGCTAGCCTTTAGTTCGTCCTTACCGAGCTACTGTAGAAACCTGGCAGTTTCTAAATGGTGTCCATGTAGATATACAAACAACTTATTCTAATGTAAAATAATCAAATGACTTCTTGGTTTTTAATGATTAGTTGTGTTTTTGATCGTTTTCATTAGAGATTATGTTAAATTCATTTAAAATATACACCTAAATGTTAAACACTCTTCCTTTAATTAAATCCACTACATGGTTTTTGAGTAAAGTTCAGGTTGGAGTCTGGTTTCTAGTGTTCTACCTTCATAAAATGTGGATTTCATGTTGTTTAATTAATTAATTAATCCCAACAATTTAGTAAAATGTTCTTCAAATGGCTGTAAAATATGCCATTTCAAGCTACAAATAATATTCCAAACTAAACAMATTGACATTTTTTAAACACTGTTTTCTGGGATCAGAATGTTAATGCCAGAGCAAATAAACTGTCTCTTATTCCTGATGTTTCAGCTCTAACAGTTTACCGAAGGAGACTCATTAAATTGTTATCAAATCAACAAAATACCTCCACGTCGGTCATTCACTTGTGTTTTCCTTCAGTGCTCCACAACTGTTTCCAACACAGAGGTCACTGCTCTTTATTTCCTAACAAATACTTTTCTTGTTGTGTTAGCAAACTCAGATGAGGCTTGTTCAGTGTAAATACTTCACTCGCTGTATATCAGCAAGTGTTTCCTAAGATCAGTTTGTTGGTTGCCTCCAAAATCCTTCAGTGTTTTTATTCAAATTTGTGTGCATTAACCTAACAAACACACAGAGACATTTTGCACTATTGCCCCACTTTCATGGCACAAAATGGCAATAGAACATTAAATATACATTTTACTCACATGGTGGGAGTGCTACTTGCAAGCAGCTGGAAAGTATTTACCAAAAATGTAAAAAAAAAAAAAAAAAGGCATGATTGCTTCGAGCTGTGAAAAGCTGAAACTGCCCTGAACCGTGTTAACATATCAGTTTGAGACTTCCTGTGATTTTCTGTCATTTAAACACCTTGTAAAAAAAATATAAGAATAAAACACCTTATAAAAAACAATATACTGTAAATAGGCTCCCTGGGCATGTGGTGCATTATATTTGCTGTTTCTCATAAAGTGAGCAATAAAACTTCATAACTGAAGTGATATTTTTAAAAACGTTCATTTATCACACGTTTAGCATCATTTAACAGCTTTCACCRAAGAATTGAAGCATTTACATTAGATGCAGCAAATTTAAACCAGGATGGAAGCGACAAATGAAGTCTGTTTAACATTTGTCTGACTGTGTTTGTTTGACTCTTGAGAAAAGGAAACATGTTTCCTCCTTTTTTGGATCAGTTACTGTAACATTCCAGACAGATCCATCCTCCCTGTAAYGAGCTGAGAGTCCCTATGAACAGACACTCTGACGGCCTTTTAGGGCTCGTTTATACTCTTAAAAACCAGAGCAACGATGCAGTTTATAAAAGGTTTATGATGAAGTTACTGGTTTTGTAATGTGCCTCAGAACAGAATTTTTATTTCTGATTGTTGCTTCTTTTAGACTGACACTTACATTTTGTTTATAGATTGATGCCTGCTGATTAAAAGGGACACATTTTGTGTTTCCAAGTGCAACAGTTAAAGGCAGTTTTGAAACATACGTATGTGTGCCTGTTCACCCTGCACATTCAGATTAGATGTTTTTTTTCTTTCTTTCTTCAGTGGGATGGAAAAAAAAGCTGTAGTGTGCCATCTAGTGGTGAAGTGTTTCACTGCAAATAGTTCATATTGCTCTTACAGAATCTAAAGCAAAGCATTTATTATTTTTACTCTTCTGAAGATTCAAAGCTTTTTGTCTGTATTTATTTATTTATTTATTTATTTATTTATTTATTTATTTATTTATTTTTGTTTTTAACGCTGCTTACATATATCCATCAGAGTGTGGTGTCACTAGATTAAAAATAATGTTAAACGTAAATTTGGTTACCATTCAGAGTGAAATTAGTTCRAGACGGTAAACAACCTCATCAAGCACAAAAATGACTGTAACTTAGTCAATTTTACAYATATTGRGCTAAAAATTGTTAGTGCCTCACTSTCTTTGTTTATGAATTAACAGAGGAGAATGTAAGAAATTAAATGTAATTAATATTTTAGTCTCCAGTAAGACTGCAAATGTACATAACAAATTTCACCCCAACCTTGCTATTTGTGTTGTATACTTGATGCGTATTCGTTAATTGTGTGGTACTATAGTGATAATTTACACCCACAGCTGTGTAAGTGGCCTTTAGTGCAGGATTTATGGTTTATTCCCCCCCTTTATTAAAATCCTCTTATTAATGAACCATTAGGCAGCAAGAACCTATTAGAARGAAATGAACCCATCGGTCACTGCTTGAACCAAGTAGTGCCCTTTAACTGGATCTCGTCTCTGCTGCTCTGCAGTTGTTATACACAGTAGAGACTAAAGCTAAAATTTACACTTTTGGTATTAAACACCATACCTTTATCTTTATTTTAGCAATGTTTGAAAGTTTGAATGCAACTTTTTTGYCTAACTTCTGTAACAAGCTCATTTGACTTCTTTGAAACGTTTAAGACTTCGATTCATGTGATCACACTGAGAGATGCACAAAATGTATCATTATTRAAATATCTGTGTTCAATTTTAGTATTGCAACAAATTGCTTAAACTGCAGGCAACCACAGATTATGGTCTATGTCAGGGGTTCCCAAACTTATCCATGACAAGGCCCCCTAAACAACATTAGCTTCTGGCCAGGGACCCCCCCTTGCAAATCCACAAACAATGCTTCTAGTTTCCCTTCACTGCTCCATCTGGGATTTCTCCCATAGACAAGGATTTCGTCAGGAGAATTTTGTTAGGGCCAATCAGAGAACAGAAGGCGGAGTTTTGAATGACAACATTGATTTTCTGTGCWGCGTAGTTTATTTTGCCTGSGCCAAACAGCAAACAGAARGCGGAGTTTTGAATGTTGATTTTCTGCRMAGTGTCTGCTAGTTAGTTTAGCAYATGGCAGTGGAGGAAGTGGATGAAGCCAGTCTGTGTCCCAAATTAAATTAAATTTGTCTGACAAAGCAGCAGCTCTCATTTACAGYCGTCTMGTTCRGCTCGGWACYTCTCTCCTCTCAGTAGGGTTGTTTACAGCGCACGYAATTTCCGGTTAGCTTCTTAGCCTAGCCTCCTTCACAGTGGAGCTGGCATACACAAACRTCGCARCCAACCAATCCAATCATTTTAAACTTCAGCAGAGGCCACGCCTCCAGCAAGAATCGYTTCTCTATAGCYGAGAGTCCAGACTCTCGTACGAAGYAAAGCRAAGGACAAGGAGCTGGTTTTAACCAGGCTACGAAATATGTAAACTTTTATTCTGTTCTGTTCTATCTGACTTTTTTGTTACCCTTCACAGTTAGAAGAAGGTGGTCGAGCCTCCCTGGCTGGAKTCCAGGAGGGTGATGAGGTTGTGTCAATCAACGGGGAGCCGTGTGCCGATCTTACCCTCTTACGAGCGTTTGCTCTCATCGATACGTCAATCGACACTMTGCAGTTACTTGTCAAAAGGTAGTTCTGTCATCAGCTGGGAGAGTGTTTTTTGTAGTTTGTATATGTTTATTAATGCACATACTGTAAGTCCAATACAATTATTAATATACCTAACCAAAGAAATCCACCATTGCTCTTACTAACAACCACATTAAAGAGAAATAATCATTTGTTTGTGAAATAATTTGTCTGAAAAAGCAAAAACAYGCTCCATTGATCGTTGATATTTCCCCCTCTTTTCTCTATAAGATACCATTTCATCCCTTCCGAAGACACGTGCTGCGGTGATAGGACCTCTTCAGGCGAGGTTTTAGAAAGCACCACCCTCCACATCTTCTCTTCAAAGCCAARATCCAACGTCCCCGGGAAGCTCTACACATCTGAGTCCCCTAGAGAGGCCTATGGTCAGGAGCTGGACAACGATACAGAAGTTCCCCAGAAACCAGAGCAACATTTATCGGRCACCTTGGGAGGCCATGAGCTGTTGCACAAGAAATACAATGAAGAAGTACGACGGTGCTTCTCCCCTGGAGAAATGGTGGAGCTCCAGGTGTCCCTGTCTGAGCAAACCTTGGACGACGGGGGATGTTCCTCCCTCGGGAGCGCTCGTGGGATAGAGGGGAAGCTTTCGAACCGAGAGGTGCTAGAAACTATTCGCACCACCGCCATAACATCCCACTACCTGCCGTGCTTCGCCAAGGAGCCGCTCGGGCAGCGTGGAGTGGTGGTCTGCTCCCCCTTGACGCTGGGCCAGACGGAGGTCATCCTGCAGCAGCCAGCAGAAGCATCGGGAGAAGGGAGGGGCATCCTGAGCAAGGGGGGCCCCGGGGTCAGTGATAGTGAAGGAGGGCAGTGCGCCGGTGCTCCTGGGTCCTTTACCATCTCATTTGAAATTCCATCAGAGGAGGCAGCGCCGGGAGAAGAGCAGGACTCGGATTCTGACGGGGATCAGGAGAAACCCAACAAGCACCGGCCGAGGCACTCCAGTAAGTAACCTTGGAGTTTCCTCTGTTTGAAYTGATGAGTATTGCATCATTAAATTGCATTTGAGAACATGTGTGCATCCCAAAGCCTGGTGTCCTTGTGTGTGTGGAAGGCTTAAAATAGGATGTGTTTTTTTTTTTACTGCAGTTGGAGGAGGGAGCTCATACCTTTGAGTGAAAGCAGATCCAGCCTGGTCTAACTGGAGTTACAGCATGRCAGAACCTAAAAGCAGATATTTAGCAAAAGCTTTTTAAACTAAACACCTAGCTAGCCTTTCATGCTAGCATTTTACCCTGAGATCTTATTTGTTCGCATTATTTGTAAGCTCTCAGAATATGTGACGTGAATGACTCGGCTACTGCCATACCAAATTTGATCTCAATATCTCTAAAGTTGACTGGGTTATATATTTTTTGTGGTTTTTAAAATCAGTTGGCTGTGGTGACCATCTTGAATTGGGTTGACTACAAGAATGAATTGGTAGTTCATTAAAATCCATCCATTGGTTTATGGATTTTTTTGCTAACTGACAGAGTTGATTCCAATAGTTAATGGCAGAGTTCGAACACAGATCTTGCATAATCAGTTAGAACTCAGATTATAAGTTGTAAAATAAGTCTCAGCTACTACCACACTAAGGTTTAGCTTAATATCTTTAAAGCTGTCTGATTTATAGCCTTTTCTGTGTTTGCTAAGATTGCTCTAATTGGGTTGACTCACTGTATAATATAAACAAAGGAGCACACAGAAGGAGGCAAAACCATTATTGCACGTGTGATGATTTCTATTAGAAAGTGTCTTGATGGTAAATATGGACACCGAGGTGCTCCTCTGAGCTGTGTAGGAGACATAAAAATAACACCAATGCGCTGATGATGCCGGCAGAAGTTGACAGACACCAGCATGTGCTCCTTTAGTCTGTTACCCGATCCCTTCAGATGGGGTGCTTTAACTGAGCTGAAAAAGTGAGTGTGTTGCTCACTGCCGTTGTCTCCTCCACCTTCAGGTTAGTCCAGCAGGAATATTACAAAGTAAACTTGTTGGTTTTTTTATTATTTGATTGTTTGATTTTACCTTTGTCATGGTGTGTTTGTCTTGTGTTGGGGTAAAATGGGAATTGTACATTTATGGACTTGTAAAACCACAATTTATTGCCTGCAGCCTTTTTTTAGTTTGTATTCTTGGCTTGTTTATTGGAATAAAATGTGGAGTCTTCTCAGTGAACAAATGAGAATATTATATAGGGGTCAACAAATTTTATTGTTACTTTATATGTGAATAATTTATGAACAGCTAAATAAGCACATCAGAAATAAATCAGTTGCAAATGAAAAATGTAAAATAAAATTAAAGGCAGAAAGATTTGTGAGTAAATACAGTATTTAGTTAACATGTAAAGAAATCAGTCATTCCTTAAGTAAGGTTTATTAAGTGTTAAATCAGTTCTACTGAAGCACATGGGGTAATATGGAGTGAGGTACTTGTTTCATGCTCCATTTTTCAAAGTTGAGTTTTATTTTTAGTGTTGTTTGAATGCCAATTCAGGATCCACACTATTTGTTTAGCTGTTTTTTTTTTCTTGCTAATTTTAGCTTTTGGCTGCTGTTTGCCTGTTTTGGGCTAGCCTTTTGCAACTTTTGGACTTTACCGTTTTTCCTACCTTTAGCTTTTTTAGCTTTTAGCTAATATTCTGTTACTTATGCTGGCTTTTTGGTACTTTAAGCTTTTAGTTTTATTTTTGCTACTTATGGCTTAGCTCTTTGCTCCATTTTAGTTTCTGWTAGCATTTTGCCACTTGGATTTTAGCCAGCATTTGTCTTCTTTATCATCTCCTCATTCAGAACTCAGCATTGTGCATCTTTGCAGAAAATGTGATTACTCTGTTGTTTTTAACCTTGTTCAAGCCCAACAGAAGTATAATATTCATGGTAAAKTTATTTAGATTTAGGGTAATTATGTGACTTGGAACTGTTTTTAACTTCTTTAAATTAGCTTATAGAAGTTGTAGATGAAGTTTGAAAGAACTGCTTTCAACTTTTGCTTTGGTCAGTGATCAAAGTGATGAAACATACCAACAAAATCTCAGCTAATTGGGGCCTGAAGCACTCTGTTTCTATTTTGTACTGCTCTACCATATGAATAAATATGTAGGCTTTGAAAGTTTAACCTTATGATTGCCCTCCTTTCCTCGTGGCAGGCATTGGTGTGTAAGTTTGTCTATTAGCAAAATATCTTTTGAACCAGAAGAGGGATTTTAGTAAAATTCATAAAGTTTTTACCAGATGTACATTGGATTAATTTTTGGGATCAACCATATTTAAGATGACTGCCACAGCTAATTGGTTTTAACAAACACAAAACCAGCAGTAAGTAAAATTTGATGCGATAGCAACTAAAAGTCATCCTTAAAACAAACTCCAATTGCAAAACCATTGCTTGAGAACTTTGTTTAAATCTCTGGCAGTAACTGTTAGGGTTCTGAAAGAAACACATTTAAACATACCATTTATGTAGTAATTTATCTTTTCCTTTCTTTTTTATACAGGGCTCAGGCGAAACGAGAGTTTGTCTGAAAAACAAGTGAAGGAAGCTAAGTCCAAATGTAAACGCATTGCTCTCCTTCTATCGGCTGCACCACCAAACCCCAATAATAAAGGGGTGTTGATGTTCAAGAAACATCGTCAGAGAGCCAAAAAGTTTACGCTTGTGAGTTACGGCACAGGAGAGGACGAATCGGAGTTCAGTGACGAAGAGGACGAGATTTACGGAGACGACAAACACAAAACCCTTGCTGGTGAATTTACTTTTGAAGCTTCTACCGACTGTAAATCAAACAGGCCATTCCTTGCTCTTCCACCAAGTAGTACAGGTGTAATAACTTTAAATTTGGATAAGAGTCTTCTTGAAATTAAAAGTGACTTGAATAATCAAGCAGAGATGGAATGTTTGCCTGAAACCAAAGGCAAGGGTGCATTAATGTTTGCACAACGGCGTCTGAGAATGGATGAGATTTCTGCTGAACACGAGGAACTTAGGCGCCAAGGGATACCTGTGGAAGGAATGCCAGAGACTGAGAAGAAAATGGCGGAGCACTCTTACATGCAGTCTGCAACAGAGGGTCATGCTTACATGGATGTAAATATGCACCAACAAAACCAACAGCACTACCAGCAATATCAAGAGCAACAGTACTATGAGCAACAACAGAACTATCAACAACAATATCAACAATATCAGCAGCAGCAGTATGATCAAAGAGATTATCAACAACAGCAAATATATCAAAACCAGCAGGAATWTCATCAAGAGCAACAGCAAATGCAGCACTATGCTGCAAACATCAATGGCACGGTCCAACAACAATCCAACGAAATTCAGAGTTCCTTCACCAATCGTACTGCAAAGCCTTTTACWGCAGAAAACATGGTGGCAACCCCTTATTCTCAAGCAGCATGTGGGACCAATCAAGATATGAGTCAAGGAGAGCAGATAGCTTCCCGCGATGAGCGCATTTCTACTCCTGCAATTAAGACGGGCCTGTTAGACACAAGGAGAAGGGCTGTTGGCAAACCTATGTTCACATTTAAAGAAGCTCCTAAAGTATCACCCAACCCTGCACTGCTGAATCTTCTTAACAAGGGTGATAAAAAAGGGTTTGAATCTGGACCTGATGAAGACTATCTCAGCCTTGGGGCTGAAGCTTGTAATTTTCTTCAGTCTCAAAGAGTTAAACACAAGATTCCTCCACCAGTTGCTCCAAAACCTATGATCAACCCCAACTCTCTTCCTTGGACCTCTCAGATAGAAGCAGCCAACCAGGACATGCCTCAGTGTGCTGAAAATAGTCTATCCACACCTGCTCCAGCCCCCACCTCAGAGACAGTCCCTGTTCTAGAACTAGAGCCAACCCCTGCACCTGCCCCTGAGTCTTCCACCCTTCCTGCAGCCCAAGAGACTCCTGCCAACACCAATACAGCAGAACAGTCTGCATGGACAGTCACAGAACCAGAGGCTCAACAGCAGCCTCCACAAGTGACAGTTCAAGAGGCAAACAATCAGGTGAATTCTGCTCAGCAGTCTGAAACCTCACAGATGTTGACCTGGGGAGCAGTACAAGCTCAGCAACAGTCATCTTCTTGTTCTTGGCAACCAGTACAAGTGCAGCCTCAGAACCCAGCTCCACGGCAGTCCTCACCGCAGCCACCATGGGCAACACATCAGCCTACTCAGAACCAAGCACACCTTCAGCATCCCACAAATACTTGGGCCCCACAAAGTCAGCCATCCTGGACTCAACCAGCGGAGCAATCACAGGGCCATGCAAATCCTCAGCCACCCTGGGCTCAACCTCTAGAGCAACCACAGTCTCAGGCCCAGGTTCAGCCACCTTGGGCACACATGAAGGAGAAGCCACAATTGCCACAAATGCAGACAACTTGGAGTCAAGTTCAAGAACCAGTGCAACCGCAGCCCCCAAACCCATGGACTCAGCCATCACAAATACACTCACAACAGCARCCACCATGGGTGCATGAACCTCAACAGAAAGCACAAGCTCAACCTCCTTGGGTTCAACAGGCTCAGCCAGAAATACAGCCACAACCACCTTGTGTTCAGCAACATCATCCAGATTTGCCACAATCATGGCCAAAGTCTCAAGCTCCAGGTCAACCTCAACCATCTTGGGTCTCAGGTCAGTCTCAGCAGCAACCATCTTTTAATGCATGGGCCCCAGCACAAACGCAAGCCCAATCTCAGCCACCTTGGATCCATGGAGCTCAAGTACAACCTCAAGTACAGGCTCAAGTTAATCTAAATCCATGGGCACCTGTTCCTATTCAAGCCCCATCCCAACCTTCATGGACTCAGCATCCTCCAGAGCAKGGTGGTCAACAGCATATAAATCCTTGGGATCAGGAACAAAATCAGCCCCAGCATCAGCCACCTTGGGCTCAACCAGTTCCTTCCCAGCCCACACCACAACCAAGCTGGCAACAGTCCTCTCTAAACACCTCACAACAACYACAAATTAATATGTGGCCTCCAGGCCAGTCACAACCCCAAGTCCCAGGAAATGACTGGAGACCACAGTCACAGCAAACACCTTTGAATGTCCCCACATCTACAGTGAACATCCAACATGTTCCCACAAATATTCAACCCTCCCCTAAACCTTGGCTTTCACGACAAATTGCACCACAAAACCAAACCCCTCCTCCTCCACCCCAGCGAATGCACTCCTTTACAATTGGACAAAGGTCTTCATCACCTATCAACCCAATGGCTACTGTCTTGAATCCTAAATCTACCCTGGGWTCAGCTTATGAGATGCCACTTGTCAGAGGGAAAGGAGCTGATATGTTTGCAAAGAGGCAGTCTCGCATGGAGAAGTTYGTCGTGGACTCGGAGACTGTAGAAGCAAACAAAGCAAGCCGGTCAACGTCACCAGCCGCTTCCTTACCAAATGAATGGAAATACACACCTAATGTACGTGCTCCACCTCCACGAGCTTATAATCCTATTCAGTCTCCCTTTTATCCCCCAGCAGCAACAAAGCAGCCTCCTGCAAATAGTCCTGGGACCAAAACAAAGAAAAAAGACCAGGATAAACAGAAGTCTGCTCCTAAACCACTCAATGTGATAGATGTCATGAAGCATCAACCATATAAATTAGATTCTTCTCTCTTTATCTTTGGCCCAGGAGCAGAGGCTGCCAAGCCCCCTACACCAAAGCCTAGTTGTTCACCCCCTAATCCAATCCCAGAAAATCAACCAATTAGATATGAACAAATGGCCCCTGTCCAACAAACTGGACCATTTAATGCCCCATATCTTCAGCAAGCCCATGGGATACCCATGCAGCCTGTAATGCAAGGTGACCAGTATCAGCAAACCCAAGCTCACATTTATCCTTATCAGCAACCCCCAGGTGGTCCATACCAGCAAGAATTTAACCAGCAGTATGAACAACATGTTCCACAAGCTTATCATCCCCAAGCCCATCAGTCTTCAAACCTTCCCTACCAACAGGCAATCCAAGCTGCTTACCAGCCTGCCAGTAGCCCTCCCTATCTGGCAACTCAGTCTGTACCTTACAAACCACAGCCTACCAGTAGCTACATTGTGTCTAATTTCCCTGTAGCTGCCAGGCCTGAATCTGCATCTGGTGGCAGCACTGCTCCCAAACCCAAGTTTACAGCTAACAAAAACTCAGCTCAGGTGTGGAAACCAACAGCTGTAGAAAAAGAGTGAATTTTGTTAAATTATGGCAGGCTTATGAGTGGATCCAAGAGTTTGTGCTCTTCCAAGTGGAAGATWTTGAGTACACACTCTCGATAACTTTTTTAATCAACTCTTCACCCTAACTGATTTTAGAATGGATTTCTAAAGCACAATGTGCTAAACTTAGGCAAACATAAAGTAAATCTAAGGTGGTGATGTATAGGAATGTAGGGGAGCATTATGCTCAGTGTGAAGATGGTAAGAAGGAAGAAAAGGAATCAGAATAGAATGGTGTCAGACTTTGAAAGGCAGAGGTTTATTTAAAAAAAGCAAGGTTTTAAAAGATCAGTTGATCAAAGCATTTGAACCAAAGTTAAGTTAATTACATAAAAYTGTAAGATATAAATTGTAAAAAGTCCAAGGAAAATATTTAAGGGAGTGTAGAATGCAAGAGGAAGCTGTGATAATACACAACTTTATTTTGAACAGTCAGAGATGTCAGTTTACAGGCATTAGAGAACAACTTTGGAATTTTAGACAATTTTAGATCAAAGAAATATGACCTGGGACCTTAAACAAGTTCCTTTAAAATAAAACTTTTTTTCTTCTGTATTTTCAGTTTTTATTTTTGCTCCTCCTTAAGGGCTTTAGYTTTATTTAAAGCTTCTTACCACCTGTTGCGTCATGTTAGACACTATATTTAAACTGCCTTGTATGAAGACCACATCTGAGGTCCTTCTGGTAGGTTTTAAATTTCAACTTAAGCTACCCAGTATCCCTATCTTTTAGACYGTCTTGGGGCTTTCCTTGAAACAAAATAAATTCACCTACTAGGTTTACCTGTCACGCATTTTCATATATTTATATATATTCAGTGAGTGGATCAGAATTGATAAAGAAAGAACTGCTGAAAGATTTATAATTGTCTAATAGGGAATGCTCACAGAAGTGTTTTTTGTTGTATTTTCTCTTCTCCCTTTGCTTGTGTTTCTCTTTATTGTGCACTTTATGTATGATTCACTGCAGTGCCATTAAACTATATTTTATCTTTGTTTGATTTCCTTTCTTTTTTCTTTTGTGCTTGTGTTTATGCTGTCTTCCATATTTTTTTACTGTTCATCTTGCACAATTTCCTTCCTTCTTCACCTCTTTTATAAATGCCAGCATAATGGCTGACCTTCACTTTTGCCTTCCTAGATTTTATTGATGCAAACGCCCACGTTATTGCACATTATCCTAAAAAGACAGACATCACTCATCATCTAATTTCCTTTCACATTTGTAGAAGCTGAGGTGAAGGGTTTAGAAGCACATTTTTGCAATACTCTTATGATTAGCCTTTCATCTTACTGGGCTATCTAGTTGAAGATGCAAAATTGCAATAAAATATACAATTTCAACTTGAATCCAGGAGCAAAGCTAGACTTTTTTTGCAAGGGGTGGCAAGGTGTTTCTTCGGGGGCACATACAAATAAAGAAAAGCACTCTGGATTTGAGAATTCAACATTGTCACCACAGATAACTTCAAATGGCTTTAATTCAGCTGTTTTAAAGGGGCAATATCATGTAAAATCAACTTTTTTGAGTTTTATATCATGTTATAATGTTATACTCTCATAAAAAACATGCCCAAAGCCTTGCTYTGAYTCATTCATGCATGTTTGAGAAATCCTGCAGCGTTTTTAGGAAGCCATGTTGAGGAGCAAAACAACAGGTGGGGACCAGGAACGCATTTTGGTACCAGGAACACCTCTGGGACATGTCTTTAAGCCGAACTTCCTCACCACGGAGCGCACCTCCCCACCCCCCACCCACACACCCCGCCCACGATTCCTGCAGACTCTCGGCAGTAACAAAGCAAATGAGTGAAAGTGAAACTTAAACTGTGCTGAGCTCCACCACTTCTCACTCTGTGGCTGCGTCCAAAACGATGGACCGGGTCCTCCGAAGGCCAAATTCGTCGGCCGCATACGTCACAGCGCCGTGACGAAGGCTGTCCAAAACTGAAGACTCCTCCGATGCGGCCGAGAAATACGTCCTTCCTTTGGCCCGAATCGAAGGACTGGTCTGATGGATCCTTCCCGGCCCACCATATCCCGTAATGTATTGCGGCCCGACCGAATTTTTTTTATGCTAGTAATGGTGGATGAAGCGAGAGAAAATAATACATTTTAAATAAAAATACGGTGACATAAAAATTAAAATTTTCTAGCTGTTGTAATTCTAATACTTTTATCGTTTGTATAGACATGTTTCTAAATATTATTTTGTCATAAAAAATGAGAAATAAACATGCATCTACGGCGGGTCGATTAGTTCTTCAAATGTTACCTTTAAGTTAATTTTATTGTTTTGTGATATTAATAACGCTAATATACTGATAATTTTCTATTTTTGATCTATTTTTGTTTCTGTTTAGTGTCGTCACAGTTGTTAGGTGACATGACGTACGCTGGGGTAAGGATGGGAGGCTAGACCATCCAAATTCACAGCCTCTTTTTTTCCGGTCTTCCCGGTCTACCAAGGACCCGGCCCACCTCGACCAGGTAGGCTGGGTCCTCTGGAGGACCCGGCCCACCGTTTTGGACACAGCCAGTGAAGCTCTTTTCAGATTCAAAATACCTTTGAGGAAATGTATTTTCAGATGCCAAGTAAATTGCATCATAGCGCACGCGCGAAGCAACCCCCCCCCCCCCCCACACACACACACACACACACACGCACACTAAAATGGACGGGACAGAAGCGGAAGGTGGTTCTTAAAGAGACAAAGGTCAATTTCAAGCTGTTTAGAAGCGGAAGTGATGAGAAGATAAGTTTATTTTCTATTTAAACATAAAAACAGCATTTTAAAAACAACTAAAGGTGACAGATACTTTTTATGGTATAGTATTTAAATATATGCCTGAGAAACGCATACTGTTGTCCCTTTAAGAAACACTGAGTTTTGTGTGACCATAGCTAAGAATGATTAAAACTTATTCAGCCAGACATGCAAAGCTGAAGATTAGTGTAGAAGTATCCTAAAACAATCTTTACCAATATCTAAATGCTAATTAACAATTCAAAATGGCCACCACAGCTAATTTTATAAAGCTATAATTAAGTATTTTAGGACTTATTAAAATTATATTTGTTGAAGAGTAGCTAAGAAGGATCACAATTGATGCTAATCCTAAATTAAACTAACCACTAATCCTAATTCTACAGGGCTACAGTTCATACATTTTTAAACAAAGACAGCTTAAAAATATTATATAGTCCATTAGAGAACAATATTCAACAAATTCTAAATGGAAATACAAAGTCCAAGTTCTCCACCCATTAATCAATTATTTTGGGGATGGCATGACGTGGCCAATCAGGCCATCACTCTGACTCTGACCCTGCTGGAATCACAGGATTTGGTGTCACATTTGCATAACAGCTGCAAATAAATTATAACAATCTCAGAAAATTCCTGTTAGCAACATACAAATGATCTTCTTCCAATTTAGTCTCAAAGTGTCTTAATTATATCGGAAATTTATAAAGACAGGAATTCAAACATAACCAAGCAAACTCCCTCAGTTGAATCAAAACATAATCACATTATATTTTAATCAGCTCATTCTTTGCTCCTTTTATTGCATTGCTGCAACAAATATTTATGTTTCTTTTTTATTATTATTATTTATCTTTTGACTGCACTTTTTTTTCATCCTTACCTTTTACATTTAACTGATAATACACACCACTTACCAGAGGGTGGCAGCACTGCCTTATCTTTAGGCTATGTACATTCAGATGACTAAATTGGGATTTAAAGGAAGTATATATGATATTTGAGCATCTTATCTAATATGTCAAATGATTAGGTTAGTATTAAACATTTATCTGGTACCAATATATTGGGGTTTTCTTGTGGAGACTCAATAAAACAACAAGCTGAATGTGCTTTGTTCACCTTATGACCCTGTTGTTTGGAGAAATACAAAGGCAAAAAGGTTGAAGAAGCTTATAATGGAATGTAAGACTAATCCACAACAAAATTAAAGATAACAAGTACGAGAGCTTTTGTATTTAGTGACTAGTTTAGATCTTAACTTAGTTTGCATTTCAATTTTAAGTCATCACATTCAGCAACTAAAAACAATATGTCGATAAGAGCTAGTCATCAGTTTTTGCTGTTTTCTATGCTGATTTGCAAGTCAGCCAGACAATAATGAGGCTTTACTAAAATAAACATGTCTGAATCCCTCTCTGCAGGCACTTGGCAGGAGCTACTCCCTTTCCCCACTAGCCAGGGTGCCGTTCACAGGCCAGAAATCAGCTTCCGCTTCTTCTTCTCCCAAGCCTCCAAGCCGATCCTCCATAACTCCTCCAGCAAGGCAGACATCATGGCTGGAAAAAGGCTTCAAACCTCTTACCCCCTGGGAGGCGGCCTCCCGCCACCCCCTGGGCCTCGTGGAAGACGCCTTCGCTTTCCAGGACCTCCAGCAATCCCTCGCTTCAAATGTCCGCTTGGCAGCGCAGCGTAAAATGCTGCCTGACGTGCCAGCAGAGTGGAAGACCGGGGTCGCTTACCAAGCCCCACTGAAAACGGGCGGCCAGACCTGGAACCGAAGCCRCAGTCAGAGTCAAGCACCAATGCCGTCATTTGGGTCTCCAACAAGAAGCCCTGTTTCCACTCCAGTGGGCCTTGTTGGTTACAGATCCCTGCCCAGACAGTGGCAGCCTCAAAAGTATGTGGCCGAGGCAAATCAGAGGCCTTCAGTGTCTTCGTCTCAGAGTAGCAGGCCATCAGAGAGGCAGACTTACAAGTCTGTGTACACCAGTAGTACCTGGAGCTGGCGGCGATAGAGTAAGAAGGAAAGTCTTGGTATAATAGATTCCACAAACAAGCTTRACTTGCAGATTGCTATTGTGTTTTTTATTTTATTTTTTTTTTTAATTTTTTGCTATTTCTCAAACACTTTGTGCTGTTTTGCTCTTACCTTTATATAAAGGGTTTCAGATTAAATGGATTACTTCGAATGCAACAGTCAAGTAAGAAAAGAGATTGTCATGTGGTTTAGATTATGGAAACTTACCAAACATCACTGACATCTAGCTGGTTTTCTATAGGTAGAAAATTTGGCACCAAATAAAAGGGAATTTTGCCTGAAATGTGGTATAAGATGAGGAACTGAGTATGTCGTTTCCAATGAAGATGAGAATGAATGGATTGTGTATATATACAGTATCATTATATAAGGCCAAATCACCCAGTCTTGCTTCTACTCAGCTTGTGATCACTCAATGCACACCCAAAGAAAATGTGTCCACATTGAAGCTGAAGCTAATTAAGACATGAACTTCATAATTTGAATTGCCAAAACATTTTTCTTCACAGGATCCAATTTTTAATGATGTTTTGCCTCATAAAAAAATAACATGAAGTTGCCAAGTGTGGGATAAATTAATCCACTTTATACGTCTTTTTTTTTCTTTGTTTTGAATGTTGTTTTTTTTCAGTTCAGTTCGGTTTGATATCCTTTGCTGTGTTGCTTTTTTTCAACGTCTTAGATGTGCTTTGAGTTGTTGTGATTATTTGTCTTTACTTGTTTTGTGTTCATTCCGCTGAGCTTGAGGACAGGATTAAAGATGTTTTCACAACAGGAAATCAGAAMGTAATTGGCGGTGCCTTCGCAATGAGACTTAAAAGTTTAGGAAAAGGTTAGCGCTACCACTCATGCTGATCGGATTATATAAGCTCTAATAAGTGAGATACATTTGCTTATTTACCAGAAGCATTTTAATTGGTGCAGTGTGACCACTCATTGCRTTCATGCTGTTTTAATAAAGCCAGAGAATAATTTAGGTGGAATGGAAAGCAGATAATAACAAAGGCTATAAATAAATGGTTGTTTTTGGTGAATGAAGGGTTGCAGAAAAGATGTAAAAGCTTTGGTGGTTTTTCTCACACAAAGTGTATATTCTGATAAAGCACGTACTGTAACATAAGTAGATTTATCACACTGCTGTCAGAATAAACTATAGAAGCTTCCATTCGAACAGTTAGTGTTAAGATCATATTATAATACTTGCTTTTGTTCCATCCAAATTTTACAAAAATAAACACTAAACTACACTGAGAATTTATTTTTATTATTTTACTCCATTGTTCCCTTTTATGTAGAGTTTATTGTTGTTTTTGTTTTAATGTGATGTGAAGTCTTGAATAATCACTCCACGTGCGATGCGGGCTCTTGGAGGCAGGGAGTGTTTCCATAGTGACTTCTGGTTACGCAATAACAGTTGCTACCAACTGTGGCTGAATCATCAGAGAATGACAGACAAGAAAACAGTGTGGGGGGGGGGGGNGGTGACCATTAGCAGAAAATGTTTCCTGGCTTGTTTAAATTTGGAAAGCAATTTTATACAATTCAGAGGAGGAATTTTTAGCCATGAGAACAATTTAATGCTGCATGCTTCAAACTGTTCTCCTTTTTTGTCTATAAAAAGGGGGGGGGGGGGCATGGTGTATTTACCAGGGTTAATTCAACTGGCTGTAATTTGAGAGAATTGTGTTAAAGAATATTCACATGATGGCTTTTAAAACTAACAGTTTCTGACTGGCGAGCCGGCCTTCAGCAAACTCCAATCCAAACAAATGTATTTGTCATCAGCTGAAACCCAATTTCCTAACATTTCCTCCACAGACAAGAAACTTTTTAAATGTTGTGTCATAATTATAGACTTTAAAGTCATAATCATGACTTTGTATCTGATAATTATGACTTTTAGTCATAAAAACCACAACAACTCATAACTATGGGCTACAATGCTATAATTATGAGTTTCATAATCCTATTAATAACGTTGAAACTCAATAGGTGCTGCAATGCAAATGAACAAAATTGTCCGTTAGCAAAATACCCCATGAACCATTAAACTGCTGCCATCATAAATACAAAATGGTTACAACTCAGTCATTTTCAGCTGCTATAAGCAATCTGCAACATGGTCACCAAGCCAAGTGCAAAAATGGTCACAATTTTGTCTTTTTTAAACCTTTTGAGCTAGCTGTGTGCGTGGCAGTAGTTGGGAGAATGTTAAATGAAAATGAGGAAGAAAAGTTCCCTGCTGGGCGACGACTCCTCCCATTCACAGAATCAACCCTGAGCTGCAAACAGAGGGCAAAGTGAGCAGTAGTGACCACCATGCTCTAAATTTAGCCCCCCTACCCCCACCCCTTCGTCCCGTAGCTTGTGAGCTAAATACCAATGACAACAGACAAACGGACACCCACCCACTCAGCCACACTCGGTCAGTCGGGTCAGGCTTCAGCCCCGTCTCCGGCCCACCCCTCCCCAGTATCGGGGAGCTTGAGCACCCACACAGACTGACCCTTCGTGCCTCTCACCTTTCCCGACGTCCCACCCCGAGGAAACGAGCGCAACTTGAGGTGACCCCACTAAACTCACACACACCTSCCCCGCCCTCTGAGGGGCCTTCAGGACAGGTAAGCATCACTTGGGCCTCTCCACAGGTGTGCTGTCTGCCTCTAATGTCAACACTTGGACGTAGAAGCAGGCCTGACTCTCGGTGCTTTCCTTTTTGTTGTAGCTGTTTTTAACCAAAAATGTTTGTCCTTTTTTCCTCTTTTGTTTTTAGTTCTCATGGCATGCGGATCACATTTTGTTAGAAAAATCCACTTTGAAGACAAAATGTGCTTTTGGTTTCTCATTAAACTATGATTTCTCAAATGATGAGCATGATATTCACTGTAAATAACTCAAATGCTGTCACCTGCTAACTTAGGCTAAAGGTGATGTTCTTGCCCGTGTGTGTGTGTGTGTGTGTGTGTGTGTGTGTGTGT